GTCATTTTCTTCTGTAAATGCATTTTTAGACTTAAAATTGAGTAGGGAATCCTAAATATGGCAACCTATGGGCTAGCAGTCTGGCGTAGTGGGGAGAAGGGACTTATTGTGGCTAGTTTAGAAGTCAGGCTTCGTGGTTGCGAACATCCTTGGCAGCCCTGTGGATAGACGGGAAGGGTCCCGGCAATTTTAGCAGACAGTGATAGTACAAAACGTATCTTGCACTTGTGCCATTGTAGATCTGCGAAACTGGAACCTAGAAAATAGGAATTTCTAGGCTGAAAATGGGAATCTTATGTGCTTATTTGTAAATAAATAAAATAGCACTTCTCTATGTACTAGTGCTCTGGAAAGGCAGCTAAAATGTGTGTATGTATTTCCACACAAGCAGGGGAGGTTAGATAAAATAGAAATAAAAAAGGAATAATCAAAATCTATCCCAATTTTTAAATAGCTATAACCAAATAGGATGGTGCTGTGAAGACTGAGGTTAAGTAGTCATCTGATTTAGGAAGGTTGATAAACTGTGTTATATAATAATTAAAGTTCCTGCAATGAAATAACACTGGTAGCTTAGTTAGATTTATGTTTATTTCCTCTTTTTTTTTTTTTAGACTAAAGAAGAAAGAATAGTTGCACTGGAGACCGAAAATGCCCTTCTTCATTTAAAGCTTGCCCAGGTATATATATATAGATATTTTATTTTTTTTCTTCTAAAATCTCTTTGAAGATACAGAAAAAGGACACTGAAATCTACGTTGCTAATTCCAGATTCTGACTATTTTCCTGTGGGGAATCTGGAAAAAAGGATTAAGGCTTAGACTGTCTTTGAGGATGACTCTATAACTGTTCCATAAGGAACTACCTTATTTTGACTTTCAGGAAAATTATGTGTCTAAACTACAAGGGCAGATTTTGAAGTTTGAGTGCCATATTTTGTTATGAGTAGGCTTACTGAAAATGCCCAGGTCTGTCTGTTTTATGTTGCATTCATCTTATGTTGCATTCATCTGGGAAAAGCTGCATATTGCAGGAGTCAGTTACAGAGCACGTAGCCACAAGCACATACATACCCTCATTTCCCTAGATCCTTCTACAGAAATATGTGCTGTTTCTAGGCCATCACTGAGACGAGGAGCAGCGCATGAAAACGTCTGGTGCATTCAAAGGCAGGATTTAGAGAATTTTGAATATTTACCTATAATGCTAGACTAGAGCTAGTTGCGAGTGCTGGTTGTAATAGTAACTGTCGGCCAACAGATTCTAATCCAGGCTGAATCATTAAATGGTTGGGTGACCTCAGGAAAGCCACTTACCCTCCCTGTGGCTCTGTTAACACTTGCGGATAAAAGTGGGTTTAACTTAGCTTTCCAAAGCCTGATTGGAAACCAGATGGTACATCTGAAAAGTGTTTTGCTAGGTATACAAAAGTGTACTGTAATTTGCTTTGAGAAAATGCTTCTGTTATTTCTATTCTGCTTTATCATATTTATCAAAAACCTTAAATATCTGATCTGTCATTTTACTTTCACAAGCACAAGAACTAATGAAGCCTTATATTCTACAGATTTGCTTTTTATGCTTGATATACTTTTTATTTTTATCTGCATTGTCAGGAGTCTGTGCTAAGTCCTTGCTTTAATAAACATAATGTATGTATGATACATACTCTCTGCACCAAGTGCCTAATCTCTACACATGAAAGCAATAATGTGGTATTCTTTTTGCATGCCTAGCAAAGCTCAGTTCAGAAGTACCATCTACCTTGAAATACAGCTTAAAAAACATGAGACTCTCCATATGTCGGTCACCTTTCTAGTCCCCCCTTGTTGTTGTAGAGCTTGGAATTGCTTTATGCTTGTGTGAGGACCATTCAAGAGCTCAATTTGTCTACAAGCRGTTATCTTAAGATGTGTGTAATAGACAAGATTCCATTTAAAGACACAATTTAAACCAACAAAATATTAGTGTTTCAGTGTCAGCCAGGAAAAGTGGCAAAGGGATAGTGGTAATGATCTGCAATTAAGCATGCACTGATATTTCTACTCTGTCAGTTACTTGAAAATCTTTGCAATCTTCAGTTTCTAATAAAACTTTCAAATTGTCCCAGCAATCTGAAAATATGAACCAAGCTCACATAAAAGGAGTTTTATGTTAAGGATTCCCATTTAAAAGGATAGTGATTTTAATTAGATGAGTTTAAGATTGCAGTACTGTCCTACATCTCCCACTGTTTCACTAGTTATATTGGTTTTAAAAAATAGAAAAAAAAAGCGATGACCATCAACTCTACATGCCTGTCTGCTCTTTAGCATTTACCAACCCTTCAGGATTGCTGCTTGAGCTGCCTGAATGATGGATGTGCAAGAGGCTGAAAGTGAGCTGGGTAAACAGAGGTCTCGTGCCTAAATTGTAATAGCTATTTGGATTAATTTTAGCTGAAGTGAGTTAGGAAGCTTTGAAGACAGACTTACGATGGTGGTCGTTAATAAGGTGTTGTAATGTAAATGTTTTTCTATAGCTTGTATCGGTCTGCTAAAACTGTTACCTCGTTACACAGACCTTTCCTTGCTTTCTAGCCTTAAGACAACTATGAATAAACAGCTCTGGCACTGTTTCCTACAACCTGGTTCATTATTGTCCTGGTAGAGTTTTGTAAGGTTGGTAAATGAACACAAAAATAAAATTCTTCCTCTGCAGACTGCAAACTTGTCTTTGCCTACTTGGAAACCTGTTTGAAGCAGACAGATATTAAAAGATGTTAGCTCTTTCCCTGAATCATCTTTAGTATATCATGTTATTCAAACACCTTTCTTATAATTAAAGTCTTTGTCTACAACTTGCTTTTGTCTGTGGAYCTTCAGGTCCTTATCCTACAGTATTCCATAAATTCAGCTAAGGCTATCAGAATGGATCTGRTTGCAGAACTGAGATTAGAATTTGGAGAATGCCATTTAAATGCCTCACTTTTACTTCTGGTTATAATATTTTTTTTCTGCTTTGCATGCATGAGCAAAAAGTTACTTCTGGAATGCATGCAATTCTGATGAATGTTATATCTGCAGTTATTTTAATGGATAAACCTAAAATCCAAGGGAGTCATAAAGATAAATCTGTTAGTGAAAGTGAAGCTAACGCAAAGAAAAAGTAGAATTGATCAGCCTCTTGTTGCTCATTTTAAGGGCAATAGTGTTAGAGGAACTTAGGCAAATTGTAGGAAATGTATCAGGTGTTAAAAGTACATTCATTTTTAACTAGCTTAAAGTTATTTAATAACATGGCTTGAGCACTGCAGTTGGGTATATATATATTCAACTTTTCACATGTGATTACAGCTATTAATTTTGGTGCATTACAAAAGTGCTTGACAAGATGCATACAGCTAAACATGAGTATCATGAGTCTTGAAAATSCCCAGAGTAAAAGGGAGATTGAACRTGATATAGAAGCTGTCTCAAATTTTGGCACCTGTAAAACGTAYGATATTACATGCAAACTTTTTGTGCAGCTTTCACSTGATACATTCCTAACCTCCTGCAATACCTAACATGAACTTTGATGTCTGTCTATCAAACTAAAATTGTTAACAAAATTATGCCAAGGTATGAAAGGGTGAAAGTTGTTTCTGATTAGAAGTATATTCCACTTTCATCTTGGCTACATTTTTTAGTACTTSTCAAGACAGAGGTTAAGTTTCTCAAAGGGAAGAGTCCATCTTCTTGCTTTTGCTGATACTTAGGCTTCTGATCAGAATGGTATTTTGCTTATAGTGATTTTGAGAGTACAGCACACATATACCACTTTAGCACAAAGGGAAAGTTAGAATAAGATTTATGATATCTTGCAGCAAAGTTGCAGGGCAATCCTGTAGTTTAATAAAAAGTGAAAATTTGTTGGGTCTATAATGCTTATTCTTCTCCTTGTTGGCAGCTATTATAGTTTTGCCATGTAAGTACTTCTTACATTAGTTGCTAAGATGTTATATAGTTGTGCAGGACTTCCTGTTGCAGTGGTGAATAGAGGAGGAATGCTTTGTGAGGGTGAAATAGCTGCATAAAAATACTAGTTTAGGTAAGCAAAAGAGTGCCTGCTTTTAATTCTAAGAACTGCAGAATATCATGGTGGCTTTCTTGTAGATGTCAACTGTAGTTAAACTGCAGCTAAATCTTTGCTTACTTTTAACTTATCGCTATCAGATGACTGGAATTAAATCAAGCTCCATTATGTGGGTAGATGTAGCTTTTTTATATCATTGTAAGAGCAATACTCTTGTATTGCTCTCTTAATTTAAGCAGGAACTGCAGTCTCAAATTTTATGGACTGAATAAACTGGGAAATAAGTCTGCGCTAGAAACAAATGCATTCCCAAAATAAGAGAGGAAGCTATCCATACTGGTTAAGCTATGACAGATGGCAATAGACTGCAGGAAATAAGAAGTAAAATTGTAGCTGATTTTAAGTGCCAGGATTGCCACTCAAACCATCATCTTTAAATCACCAAAATACAATTTTTAATACAGTACAGTGCAGAACTTCACTAGTCACCTACAGAGATTTCACTTTTTTGTTGAGACTTATTGTCCTATAGAAGCAGAATATTGTGATGTAGCCAATTACAGGAATCATAAAAAGCTAAAAGCAAAGAAATTACTTATCTACAAAATTAAACATTATCAGATGAGTCAGTTACAAATGTTTACAGGGACAAAAGTGACATAGCAGAAAAACACGTTTTCTGAATTTATAGAAAGGAATTTGTGTTTGGCCAACATGCCTTAAATGGCATTGCTGAATCTGCATCCTTCCGTGCCCAATGGGTTCTGTTTTCTCATCTTGCTGGGGAAATATTTAGCAGTTCACTGCATTTGGAAGGTCATCTCTCATTACCCGTATTTTGTTGATCCTTAACCTACCCAGCAGTCAGTTTCCATTCTGAGTTACTAACTTCCCTCATGTTCTTGGAGATGAAATAGTGACTGGCTTGACAAAACCTTTAGGGGAGATATTTTTTTCTCTCACCTGGGCTTTGGCTTCACAAGAATCCTGGGTGCTGCCTGTCCCGCAGTACGAGACCTTCGTTTGTGATGCCACACCATGAAAAGGAATAAGGAACAATTGAGCTTTTAAATACATACTTAATCAGTTTACTTAAAAGCTGGGCCGATTCCTTGCTCTGCTGAGATCCTTCTCAGCTTAGCCCAGAAAAGCAGTCGTACTGTCACAAAGTAGTGCGGCACTGTGGGACTGGGAAGGAGTAGCCAGAAGCGGCAAATCCCGCGCCAGTGTTGGTGCCAAATCCCTGTGAAACCCCAGCCCACGCACAGCTTTTCCAACTGTAAACTTAATATTTCATATAAATTGCCAAATGTTCTTTTACACTTATATGTAAATAAATAGTCAGGCTATGTATATGTAAATAAATACTACATGCTACTCACTTTGACCAAGCTTACAGTGGATGGCAACAACATGTTGATATAACAAATTTGGGATGTTTGACCCGCTCTATCCTGTTTTAGAGGGGCACTGTAAGCACTCAGCCTGCAGTGAATGCATAGGCTGCAGGGTACAGGCCACCGTCTGAGCTAGTCACTCTAGATTAGTGAGAGAGGCAGGTATTTGTAGAGTACAACTCCTATAAAGACAACTCTTTTGACAAACAGGTCTCGTCCATAATAAAGAGTTTCATGTGGCAGGAGACAGTGCTCATTTTTTTTAGGTGTTGATTTTCTAACCATGGCTATGGGAATCTCTAACTTTAGAATAAAATGCACTTTGAGCGTTCAATTTTATGTTTTTAAGTTTTTGGATTTTTTTTAATGAGTATCAAGGGCTGTCTGGAAGAAGCACTAATGAAGTTTTGCAGCTCTACTCTGCGCATGGACAGCAGCAGACATTGCAGAGAAACGCTGTTGTAACACAGCTTCACAGAGCAATACAGGTAAAACCATTTAATAATAATCTAGCCATAGTCAGTGCTCTAAACATGTATGTTTATCAAATATAGTAAAGGAAAAAAGAAGAAAGCGATCAGATCTGAACCTCAAAGCTCTGCTTGCAGTGAAGGGGAGCAATGCCTCGGCTCAAAACTGTAGCAGTTTTTCAGTATTAGGCTGCAAAGTCTGTCGATGTCACTGGGAGTTCATCCATACTAGGAGCACTCAGAAGCAAGATTGTTTTGTTGTATGCTTAGTCAAGCAGTCTTAATTTTGCATTAAAGATACCGGATTTTTTCCCCCAGTAGCATTAAAATAACTTTTCCTTGTTGAAGTACTTGTTCCTTAAGTTACTGTATAAAATACTGAGTTCCTTTCAAAGACACTGACAAAAGTCAGTTTTTCTCAGGGCTGTTTCAAAAGTCTTTGTACAATAACCAGAAAATAACTCAGGAAAGGAACCTATTTCTAAGTAGGCAAAAGAATTTTGCATAATTACCATAGAATCATAGAATGCCCAAGGTTGGAAGGGACCTCAGAGGTCATCGAGTCCAACCCCCCTGCTCACGCAGGGTCACCCAGAGCACGTGGCACAGGGCTGCATCCAAGCGGGTTTTAAAGATCTCCRAAGAAGGAGACTCCACAACCTCTCTGGGCAGCCTGTTCCAGTGCTTTGTCACCCTCACAGTGAAGAAATGCTTCCTTAAGTTCCTGTGGAACTTCCGATGCTTCAGTTTGAAGCCATTTCCTCTAGTCCTATCACTGTCCACCACTGAAAAAAGGCTGCCCCCCTCCTCCTCACTGCCTCCCTTGAGGTATTTATACACGCTGATCAGGTCCCCCCTCAGCCTCCTCTTCTCCAGGCTGAACAGGCCCAGCTCTCTCAGCCTTTGCTCATAGGGCAGATGTTCCAGGCCCCTGATCATCCTGGTAGCCCTGCGCTGGACTCTCTCCAGCAGCTCCACATCCCTCTTGTACTGGGGAGCCCAGAACTGGACGCAGTCTCCAGATGTGGCCTCACCAGGGCTGAGTAGAGGGGGATGATCACTTCCCTCAACCTGCTGGAGACGCTCTTCTTAATGCACCCCAGGATCCCGTTGGCCTTCTTGGCCACCAGGGCACACTGCTGCCTCATGGTCAACTTGTCGTCCACCATGACGCCCAGGTCCCTCTCTGCGGGGCCGCTCTCCAGCAGGTCCACTCCTAATCTGTACCATGTTTTATCTCAGTAGATCTTACAGTTTTGATTTTCATTTCAAGTTAGCTAAAATGATAGACCTGCTTGCGAAGCAGTATCACTGGATTGAGATGACTTGTTATCAGAGATAAATGTATGCAAGAGCTGAAACCTCTCCAGATAAGTCTAAATTAATGGTAATCCTGTACCCTTGATTGAAAATAAATTTGATTTCTTCACAGTTCTGTGTTCTGTGGCTTTTGAGACTAACGACTACAGTGATTACCTCCCTTTTGTGTAGTTTATTACTGTTAAAACTTGCCAATTAATTCAAACTCATTACCATAATTGGAACAATTTAAGTCTTACAGAATTATTGTGATGCTTTTCAGCAAGCTGATTATCGAACCATCATGGAGTGCTGTAAGATAAGATACTGTTAAGCTCCTTTTACTGATGGCTTTAAGTGTCAATATATTAAGTGTCTGCTTCTCACCTTGAAGTTAGAAAGCCTACTACTCCTAAAATTAGGGCAATTTATTTTTACTTTATTTGAACATTGATGTAAGATGCTATGTGTATAAATACTCAAAAGTGTCACCATATGTGTTGTACTGAGTTACAATAACAACATAAATACTTTCCTGAACAATAAATGTTTCTGAGCGTCTCAAAATAYGTTTCTTTTCATAGGAATGCATAGAGCTGGCTTATTTAAGAGATGACTTATGGTGGACATAGCAAACACCTACTGAATATGCATTAAAGGACATACAGATCACTATTTATTCATTGCTAATTCTGTATTTGTTTTATAAATGGAAATACCATTCACAGTTACCTTTCTTTGATGAAATAAGAGAGTTCCTTTGTTACAGCTGATACTGTAGTAGCCCAAGAACGTGCAGGAAGATGGTGGGGATCCTCAAGTATTGCAGAAAGACTTTAGGAAATGAAATTGTTGAAATGTTGCAGGATCCTTCTCAAAATATACTGAGAACGCATTCCTGGTGACTTCCTTTCGTGAAGCAGAGTGTTCTTAACTGTGATATCTCTCCGTGACTATTTGCATTGCAGTTATTTTGATTCGTCCTCAAATGCTGTTTTTAATGTATTTATAACATTTTTTGTTGTTGTTTTTGCCAATAAGAGGCTCAAGCAAGACCTGAGGAGCCTCCATGCGTTTGCTCTTGAGCTTTCAAAAGACTTTCAGCATCAGTGCAAGACTTATCTTTACCAAGTTTTGACAGTGGTCCAAAGGATACAGCTGCAAAATGAAGCAATGCAAAGTAAGGCTCGTCGCACTTGCATTTCCCATGTGTAACATCACCATTGTAGCTGTTATATCTTAGTAACTCTGAAAGGTTGAGTTTCAGCTACACAAGTAGCTGAAATGGTAATTCTTTTCTTTGTTTGACCCTAATGCCAGAGTCCTCAGAAAATATGGTTACAATTATGTTTCAAAAATATTACAAAATACAAATAACAGTTCATTTTCACAGGGCTGTGAGGCTTAAAAATGGTTCAGATCTACTGTTTAATGCTGATAGCAGTTGCTACTAAGCTGCTGGCCTGGCTCAGCTGTAGCACTTTAAATCTGAATTCTCAGCCTTATTTTCTTAATAGTTTTAGAATAGCTGAATAAGAAAGTGTGTTGCTTTAGCTGATTTTATTTATGTATTTATTTATTCATTTATTTTTACTTCTGACTATAGCAGAAGAGAATTTGACATTTCAGAGATATCTCAGGAAAATATCTGAAAATTAGGACAGGCTGTATTTTTAATAATTTTTCTGTGAATTTGAAATTTACTTTTAAACCACAAGCTGATGCACATGCTAGAGTGTAGATAGTAACACCGCAAGGATTGCAGTGTCAAAGTTCAGGTGCTTGTTCGTGTGTACATATAAAGCAAACCCTCCAATGGACTGGTGTTCTCAACCCCTGTAATGGAGACCAAGGTGCTTTGGTCCTGCATCTGGGCCCGTTGGTGGGGATCTTGCACCCACTCACGGTGTCCTTGATTCTGTTGCACCTCTGAACAGGGCCTGAGAAGAACAGGCCACAAACATGATTATTAAATGGGTCCTTAAGTTGTTTGAATTGCAGCAACCTGGTGAACTAACGAGAAATTCAGGAACTTGTACTCRGAGTCCGTGTATGATGCACGTTCTCAGATCCATTTGTCACCATATGAAAAAAATATTTTTTCTGCTGTTTTTGATTGGAATCATTAATTTTGGGATTGATTTGCTTTCAGGAGGACTACTCATGTCAGGAACAACAAGCTGTATGTTCAGTGACAGATGTTCGCTGAATTTTTCCATGTATGTTCTGTGTTCAGTTCTGGTTAAAATGGTTAATTGTAATGGATAAAAACCACTCTGTTATCCATGTAGAGAAAATTCTTAAATTGTCTCTGAGTCTGGAAAAAAAGAAGTAGAAAAATAAACCTAGGTTCAGGTGAATATTCCTTTTATGGAAACAGGGAGCAAAAAGGACAGATATGAGGTTGGGGAGGTAAATAAACAATAAATTTTCCTGTAAGACTTTGCAGATTCCTACTGTCTGTTCTGTCCTTAGTCTTCCTGATATACTATTTCATGAAATCATAGCCAGGAGGAACCTCCTCACCTATCTGAGAATAGTGTGCTAGTGCTTAGGTGAATCTTATGTTCCCAAGCTGCACATTTTTCCTGCCTCTCCAAAACACTTCAAATGGACTTTCTATTTTAAGATTAAATATTATATTCAGAATTTCCATGCAGAAATTATATTTTTTTTACTACGCAGAAAGCCAGAAATATGTGTTCTAGAGACAACATATGTTATCAGTTGAATCCCAAAATAGAGGCTGAAGATGAGCAAGAGAATTATAGAAGAATCATAAAAAAGGTGAATCCTGAAGCTGTAGGGGTCGTACAGCAAGCTACAAAAGTTTTGTGTAATAACTGAGTACTCCCTTGCTTAGAAATATTGAATAACAGTCTGAAAATCAGGCACTTGCCATCTTTCCCAGTGAAACACTACCAGAAATAAGGAATTCATATAGGAGAAAAGTGGCCAGCAGCATATAAAACACAGCTTCAAAAGTATTCAGAAAGATTTTGCAATTGTCTGTTGCATCACAGCCAATTACCTAGGAGGCAAGGTTGGAGTGACCTTTTTAAAGTGGAATTTAGTCTGGAAAGAAGTCCTAAAAATCCCAGGTAGCTATGAGGGCAGCCACACGTCCGTATCTTTCAGTGGCTGGTTGTTCACGTCGCTGTCACTGACCTTTCAGTTATGTTGATGCAGCTGTGTGAGCACACACCAAACAGCTCAGGGAACTGATCCAGGACAAAAACTCCTCAGCAAGAAGGGGTGCGTTTAGCCACATCAGYCCCCTGATCCATTTACAGTGAGAGCCCCCCCAGCAGCTGGGCCAGCCCAGCCGAGGGGATGGTGTCGCGCTGCAAGGAGGGAATGAAGCGCTCCCCAACCAGGACCGTCAGCTCGGGAAACATCATGAGCCCAAACATATTTGCAAGTTATCACTCTTTTCACTCTGCCACTAGTATGGACTTGATTAATAACTAAGATCCCAGCTGGGCTCAGTGTGTTTAAACAGAAAAACAGAAAAGAAAGTGGGAAAAAAAAAMCCCAAAAAACCAGCATTCCCCATTCCCAGAAAGCTTCTGTATAAATGCATGGGACAGGCAAAGCATGGTTAAAGGGGATAAATGTCCRTAATGGCCCCATGTGTGTTATGAATAACAAGGAGCAGAGTTACTTGTATTTTAAAATAGATGTACCCAGTGACTGCCTCTTGTTTACCAGTGATAATATAATACTATAACTGCTGAGTGTTTTGTAAGAGAAGCCTAGCRGAAATCTAGGAAAAGGATAAACATTTAACTTTAAAACTAAATAGTTCCATCTTCAGAAAAATAAAAATTTCAGAGTAAGTTATGTATTAAGAAATTTGCTGTGAGTTCACAAGTGCATAAACTGTTRACATTTTTTATGGAAATAGATTAACAAATCAATGAATTAAGATCTCGTTTTTTAAAAAAGTATTGTRTAATTAGGAGCCAATGAATGTCTGAGTTAATTTTGACAATTTATTCTAGTACTTACTTGCATGCAATTCTCCAAGACAAGACAAACTAGTGGTACTGCACATACTGAATGCAAGAAAGGGACTTTTTTTGGTGGAGCCCTTGGACTTCGACTGTTCMACTACTGGCATCACATTTCTCTGCATGCCTGCACTGTGGAGAACCAGTATGAGCTGGAGCCCAACTGCTTGGATATTGCAAAAAATAAGATCTGAGAAATCTGCAGTGCTTACAAAGGTCCTTTGAAGTTCTCTAACTTTTAGTCTACAGCAGAAATCATAAATCATGTGTGTGACATGCTGAGACCCTAAAAGTCCATTCCTTTCATTGTAAGAGAGCACATATTCAGCCTGGTGACCAGCTTGCTAGCTCAGCTCTCACACCGTGATTCTGGCTGCTTGTTCCTCCACATCTCCATCAGGCCACTTATTTCTGGGGAGATTATTTCCCACTGGGTTTCCTAAAAGCTTGTTGTTTTATGCAGGTTTACAGTTACTTCATGAGCCTSCTTGACTGTATTTTTACTTTAGACCTGCTCAGCATTAATGTAATTGTGCTGAAATAAAATCTTTTGTGAGGTTGGAAAGCTTTTATAATATCCCGTATCGCTGTCTTCCCWTCTGCATGGAGACTCTAGGGTTCAAAAGATAAGTCATCTTTTTATGAAATCACAGTCATGAAGTGAATGCATCTATTGTAAAGTGCAATCTTAAAGCTGTTTACAGGATCAGCAGCACTGTAAATGAGGCTGAGGATAAGTGATAGGCTAACATCTTGTTACTTAAGCTGGCATGAATCTAACCTGCAAACATGGCACCATTAGACCCATCCAGGAACTGTTTGCTTCAGGTTTCCATTCTAGGCTTCACTAACAGCTAATGATTGTCTACCTAAATAGATAAACAGACATATTTAAGCTACCTTGAATATCTCTTCCTGTTCATCATTTTTCAAGATTGCACCCAGATGCTTGTGGTAATTATCTGCAATTTTGCATAGTCATTTCATAGCAAGAAGTAAGATTTTTTTTTTTTCAGAGGTGACTAGTAAATCACAAACTGACCATTTTACCTTAGATATGGCAGAAGTTAAGGAGGTTTATGCTTATATTTCAGGAGGTGCTATTAGTAAAGCTATTCTGTAAAGTCCTAGTTGTGACTTCTTTGAAACAACTTTATTCTTCCAGTGTTTCAGTTAAAAGCTTTTGATCTTGAGCAGTCCCTACAAGAGGTAACGGAGAGATATGAAAAGGAAAAGCTGAAGAGGAGAGCTCTACATAACAGTTTAGTTGTAAGTACCTTTAATGATAGAACATTTCGTATTTTCATGTCATTATGCCTATAATTTTCTCACCAGTAAAAGTAACGGATATACTTTTCATAGATATATCACCTACCAAGTTATTTATATATGATGTATTTCTTTGTTGAGGCACATTTGTCTTAGAGTAAGCCCCAACTCGTTATGTTACATGAACACCATCAAATGCTTTCCTGGGACATATTGCCCTGGAGTGTGTGATACATTTAGAAAAAGGAGCAAATTTGAGTTTCCTAATCTCCTTCTCTAAAATTACAGCTCACAGGAAAAAAACATGCTTCAATTAGCATTTTCCCCCCCATGTGGAATTCAAGGTATACAAATTCAAGTTCAATTAAATGAAAATATTACCTGAAATTGTTCCAGAATTCTTTAATGATTTACTTAAAATTGAAAAATTTTCTTCTTTTATTTTTTTCAAATATAACCTAACTATATCCTCCTTTATATCCTCCTTTATTAATGATAGTCCATTTGAGATTCATTTAATGACAGTCCATTTGAGATTCATTTTTTATTTTTATGCCGTTAACTTTAAACTTCCTCCCCACTACAGATTACTAGCTTTGAGTTGTCTGGCTCATGACCTCTAAAAGGGACCTGACTTTCAGAAACCCATGCTATCTTCAAACAACATTCTTATAAGCTGTCTGTCTTGGAAAATGAAACTTTTTTTTTTTTTTAAACAAAATACAATCCAAATTCTGCCTTGTGTTGCAGTTTACTGAAAGGATATTCCCCAAGGCAATGGGGAATTAATCACAGGGTTCACTAGTCATCACAGGCAAGCTTTTTTCCTTCATGTAAGGCAAGAAGTGAACACCAGCAAAAGGGAAAGAAAAACACCAGGTTAGTTAAACTGAAGTCTGAAACAGTSTACAGAGAAAAATCATGTACTGTTCTTCTAGTCGTATATGAATACATGGTGGAGAGAAAAAGGAAAATAATGTTTTATGTTCTACATCTTCCTCGGGTTAGTGTTTAAAGAAAAACAGTAGTGTTTGGACTTGTTGCTTGCCAGGTGTCTGAAGAAGTTCAAGTGAAGAAGGAGACTGAGGAATGAAAATGGCTCAGACTGACAGATGAGGCAGGGCCACGCCATTCCATGAGTTTACACTTTCTCAGGCAAAGCTAGAAGAGGTCAAGTGAGGCTGATATTTTTTGTCCACGGAAAATCTAAAGCTCTGATGCTGCAAACACTCCTCTGGTTTCCTATGTACATTTATGGTTGCATAATTTATTCTGCTGTATTTGTGCTTTTCAGGACTTTGTATTATATGCATGTTAATATTCTAATCCTAGGAGTTAAGAGGAAATATCAGAATCCACTGCCGGATCCGTCCATTGCTACCTTTTGATACTGCTGCTGGACGTACAGTACCACAAGATAGGTAATTTATTTTGGCTGTGTTATAATCTTAGTTAATTCATAGTTAAGATATGGAGAAAACAATAGCTTTGTATGTGAGAATAATTATTATTTTAATATAAATATATATATGTAGAAAGACTATAATAATATAACAAATAATCGCTATTTGCTTTTCTTTCTCTAGTTAAGTTGGCTTCAGCCAAACTCATCTCCTTGTCTAAAGATCTATCTGCTTGAATAAAAAGTCACAGCAGTTCAATCACCTAGGATTATCCCTGGCTTTACAGAAGTAACACAGCTGCTGTCAATTTAAAGTCTATTTGCTGGCCTGTACAAATTCTGGAATATAGTAATTTAATAACTTTAGCCAGAAGTTATATATAGAGAGAGACCTTCAGCATCATAGTTGTTTTGTAATGCTATAAAGCAGTTTTTCTGTCAGTACAAAGACTTGTAATTCTATCTATTTAGTATAACTTGGCTCTGCATCCCTAAATTGTAATACACTTACCATAACTAGTCTTGAAACATCCTAAGTTTTTTTTAAAAAAAAAAGTGGGATTAGATGCAAGTATATTAGATGCAAGATATATATTAGATGCAAGAATTCAGCATAACAAGCTGAATTCTCCGTAAATGAAAAATATGAAAGAAAGAGATTGATGCATACACAAACAGAGAAACTAGGGAGAAACTAGAAAACAATAACAGCATGATTCGCCCTATCAGAAAATAACTAATTTGTTACTTTATTTTACTTTGCTGTCTGATATTTCTAAAAGAATGCAAACAGTGGTTTTAAATCCTATAAACTTATTGCAAATCTGAGAAAGAAATATAAGTTTGTTGTAATTAAATTAAAACAAAAAATGCCAGACAAGAAATTTCAAAGAACCTGATGGGGCATCTTGTGTTATCCTCTGCCTGGTAAGTTTGCGAAGGAACAAACTCTGKTTTTGTTTCTGTATGGATTAGAATAATTGGCTGCTGAATCACAGTAGAACACAATGGACTGTGATAAACATGCAATTGTCGAGCCTAACTTTTCATAATATACCCACAGGAAATTTAAATAAAACTTAATTGTAAAACTAAGGACTGAWTCTGAAAACACTTACACACATGAATGCATTTATACACCTCAGCAGTCCCAGTCATTCTTTAGATTGGGTAATGGATGCAAAATTACTTGTGACTCTTTGCAGAATCAGGCCCAAATATATAAAAAGTCTGGGTTTTCTTCTCAGTTCAACATGCAATGATGAAAGCCTCTTGTTACAAGCTGTCCAGTGGTGATCTAAAACAACATTGCATGTGAACTGTTCTGAATTGGGCTTGTTCTAATCTTGCTTTTTTAAGTCGATTATTTTGTTTGGTAGCACGTTAATTTGTTGAGTGTTTTTTTATCACAGATAACTGTGGTCTTAGYATGTGCATGGAGTACAACAGAAATGAAAATTCTGAAAGTTACTCTTTAGACAACTTGAAGTTCACAGACATTTGAAGCATTGACTTTCTTGACCTAAATAAAACACTTATGGTTCGAACACTGTTTTTTCCCTTGTTATTAAAATACATATATATTTCRTTACAGGCAAAGAAATTTTATGGAAAAAGTGGCATATGCAGCTGATGATGTGAGTATACTTAATAGCGAAATTCAGGAGCACATTGACAGATACTAGGAAAGAGAGACAAAAGGGATATATGACCCATAGTTCTCAGTAGCATCCATCTACCATGAATGCACTAGCAGGTGATCTGTGTTATTTTCTCCTAAATCTTTGTATTAATAGTAGCTTGATGCTCTGCTGGTCGAGCTATCCATGAACTGGAGCTTGTATGTCTGAAGTGTCAAACMAATACAGATATCCTGCAGTCCCTTTGAGCCATTTTTATATGCTGTAACCATTTCTGAAAATATGTCAAACTTTTTATTTTAATATTACAACACAACTTATGGATTAAGAGAGAGAAAAATGGTATCTCCTGAGGTACCACAAGAGCCTAGGCGGTATTGCAGTCAAGCATGTTAAAGGATCCTGACTTAGATCCATTAGAAGGAGAATAAATACTGAGGTTGTAAATCCAGATGACTTTCCAACATTCCTTAAGGCCATTACCAAGACATAAAATTTAAAAAGGCACCATAGTGTGAGCTAAGGTTAAAGTATTAACTCAGATTTTTACCTTTAATTTCCATAGCTACCATAGTTCTTAGTCATTTGCTGTTACTTACATACCAAGTAGCCAGATTTTCTTCTATAGTTCAGTGCTTAAAATGTAGCYGAAGTGACCTAAGATATCTTATGCACTTAAATCTTGTAAATTATAGTTTCATTAGACAGTTCTCTGTTGCATGGAGTGAAAGCTTCTATATGCAGCTGGGAAACACGAAGAGGCAGTTAGCAAGTGTGTGTATGTTGTGAGATAAAAACCAGGAATTGTAATGGTATAATATTCTGGATGCCATGACCCATTTATTGCACTACACAAAGCAGTGACCATTTCTCTCCTCTGATTTTTTTTTTGTATGAAATAGACAAAATCAAATCATTAGGTTTCAGATTATTTTTTGTAGCAATATGATTATTACATTCTATATTTTTACAAGCAAAACAGTGTTTGCTTGCTTTTATCAGTGTATGAGTTCGAATATGTTTGAGCTGGTAAACTTCAATATGCTAACTTTTTCTCTTGTTTAAAAATCCTTAAGAAATATTTGAGGAAAATAAGCATATAAAAGATTTGATTTCAAAATGGAATTTGTAAGATACTATCTTCCTATTTTTTGAAAAGACAATATTGACTTTAAATGTTTGATTGGTTTGTTTTGAAATTTAGTTAGTTAAAATGCTTCCAAGTCTGGATCAAACACCTTAAAATCTGCATTCTTTTTTAGTAAGAATATTTGTTTATAAAAATAACTATTTTTGTTTAAAGTATACTAGTTCATGTGGGAGGATAAAGCATGAATGGTATTTTACAAAATAACCCCAGTAACTTAGACTGATCTAACAAAAGTAATAGAAAACAATGTCTTTTAACAACTGCAGGTGTTATGCTTGTAGCTAGGATAACTACGCACTTTTCAGATAAGATTATGTTTTTTGGTTCGTTATTGAAGCTTTAGTTTCAACCCAGTCAAAGCTCACATTCCCGGAAATGAGTTAGCTGCTTTCCAAAAAAGCTGTTTATGATTCAAAGGAAATTTTCAGTTAAGGTAAAGGATAGAGGTCTGCTTAGGATAGAGGTGCTGACTTCTGTTATTTAAATCATGGCTGTTTCTCTAGATYCTTGCCTGAATTTACTGGAAATTGTTTCAGAAAAGTGTTCATATAAGGTGGTCATTTTAGAACCAATGTGCGCTGCAAGGCAGAGCTGCATTAGAAAACCCCAGTCRCAAAGTTTTTGCATCCTTTTCACTCCCTCCCAGCATACACATAACAACTCTGGTTTGATCTGATGGATGGGGCTTCAGCTCGGCGTTGTACCTGGACTGTGATACAGCCCTGGTGTTATGCAAAAAATTGTCTTGTTATAACAAGAACAGAGAAAAACAACTGTCACACAGTAAAATACCTTAACAGAATTTGCAGTATTTTGCTCTTCTTTTCTGCCAGAGGCTGTCTTAAGACTTGCTTGAAACTCTCTGTACAGAGGCAGATCTGTAACTTCAACAGAATAACTGTATATTGTTTTGTGTATTGAATTGACTGTATATTGGGAGACAGATTTGGGATTTTCTTTGACTATTCTTTTCCTGCTTGTTTGGAATTTATGAAATTAATTCTTCCAAGGACTCAAGTGATCTTTTCTATAATCATGCACAACTTGTCTAAAAAGAGTTARTAGTATTTCATTTCAATTTTTGAGCTAATTCAAGTATTTTATATCTCAAATTGCATGTATGAATACAATCATTTTCACATGACTGCTAACATYGGGGCTCCAAAGTGATTGTCTGTATTTTTTTCCTTGATAATGTCTTATTTACTTTCCTGAGAAAAGAAGGACATTTCAAATGCTCATATGAAGACATTTACCTAGTAACAATTCTTTTGTTTTTCTTAGATTGAAGATGGGTTTYTTCCTGTCTTATTTCTCACCTAGGGAAAAACTGATCTGCAAATAAATTTGACAACTCAATCAGAAAAGTGTTGCATAAGTCTTCATCAACTTCCTTGTTCTCACCCTCCCTCCAATTTTTCTTTTTTTTTTTTTTTCTTTTTTTCTGGATCCTGTTGGTTACAGGTTAATAAACTAGGGAACCTCCTTGAATTAGATGAGGTGTTTTATGTGCAAAGGAGGTTCTATTGATGTGTTGTCAACCCTTTCATTTTTTTTCTTTGCTTTTCTCTGCAATTAAACAACATACGCTATGAGGAATGAAAGGGCACTGGAGTTAAGACACATGAAAGTGTTGTGATTACGCTCTGATTAATACTTTAAAGAGCTGCTGACATGTGTCACAGCTTACAAAACAGCCATGCAATCRATCTAGAAAGTGGATTCTAGTAAGAACTCATGAAATTAGCAATTGTACCGCTGCTGTTCTTTCTCACAGTTCTGGACTAGCATAATATTCTGTGAAATATGCATCTTCTGTTCAAATCTAGGCACGTATATATGTATATGATATATATATATATACACACACCCCTAAGGAGTTTGAAATAGCCTGAAAACTGGTCTTATAATAAAGAACTCGGATTGCCATTTTACTACTTGTGGTGGCAATTAGATATGTTGCTTTCACTTGGCTATGGCTTTCTAGGCACATAAGAATTTGAGATGATGGTTTGGATCTTTCTTCTGAACTTACTCTTCTCTAGTATTTTATGCTTATTGCTCTTTAATCAAAGTGCATTTTGAGATCCGTTTTCCTGATCTGTCTAGTTAACTGCAGTGCGCAGGCTCTAAAACCTCAAGTGTTGGTGATTTCTGGAGTAGAGCTGTGCACTTCACGATCTCTAATTCCTCAATTACTGCTGTAACCTGACGCATTAGAAATGATAAATATGTATTTCATTTTTATTTGTGTGCTTATGCTGTTAACTGTTAGTATTTTATTCTCCTCTTAGGAAACTGTCCTTGTAAAATGTAACCGTCCTGGTCACGCATCAATAAACAAGACTTTTCAGTTTGAGAGGTGGGTGGTCCTTTGTAGCAGCTTCCAGCAGATTGCTGGAAGATTTGGATGGTGAAAGCCATTTTTTTTCTTTTTTTTTTTTTTCATGTTCCTTGCAGTATTCTGTGAAATAGTAAAATATGTTACCCACATTTTGAAGGTGAGGAATAGAGATGGATTGCATCCACTGCTGCATCAGACATACAGTGTGGCTGAGCCAGAAACTGAACTAAGGACTTCTAAGACCTGGTGTTGAGTCATCCTACCTACAGTTCCAAGTTAAAATAGCTGAAAACAGAGTGCTGGGTAGAGTAGTGGCCTGTAAATTAGTGGTCCTCTAAGGGAAAGGATGCAGTGTGAACATGTTCCTAATTAGATACTAGAGAACTCACAGAGGAGTGAGACATTTTGAATGCATGAGCAGCATTTTTTAATTGWATTTTGTGCCTTACTAGACACTAGAGAATCAACCCATAAGGCAGGAAACTGCAGGGATTTGGGCTGAAAGGTGCTCTGCATTCCTTAAAGTGAAGCTGACTTAAGCACATGAAAACAAGAATGAAGAATTAGAATAATGTTAATAAGATCTCTGTAAACGAAGAAATACAAAATTTTGCCTCATGCTTTCTTCTAATGCAGACTTTGCTTTACTGAGCTGTGTGTGTGCATTGCAGTGAGTCATACAGTAGCTCTCTRCCCTGAACTATGTTTCAAACCCCTCTGGAAACAGAGCATATGAGGATAATCTCAAGCTTCCTTGCTGAAAGCAAGACTTGTATTCATTCAAAGTCAAATATATCCAACATAAATTACCTGTCCTGGTTTAAATTTACGTTCTGGGCCTGTTCTACCCAAACTGCTGTAGGTTTGCTAAGCCCTGCCAGTTATTCACCTTCTGCTTGAGGCATCTTTYCAAGGTGTTGCCCTTCACTACTCATCCAGACTGAGGACTGGAGACTGGCCACCACATGTCTGAAAATCCCTAAAATGCAAATCTTTGGGAAGCTTCACTGACCCTATAGGTTATAGGACTTCTTTGATACAAGGCATACATGTGTGACCTGTCAAGGTATATCGTCACCTTGCATGTCCTCTAAGCTACTTGGGGTAATCCCTATCACCCTGTAGCTCTCCTTAACTCAGCAATAGCAGCTCAAGAGAATGCAGAATAAAGCTGAAATTCAAATCTGTTGAGCAACACAGTTAATKCTAATGACATAGGACTCTAGAGTACTGTGACTCTGGTCATGTGGTGTAGATCCTGATAATCAGGAAAAAGGTTAAAAAAATGTAAATCCCTCAAAGAATGTAGTTCTTGGGCAATGTTTTTTCATTGTCCCATGCACAGCTCTCTTTTATAAACAGCAGAGCATATGGTTCTTATGAACTCAAAAATGTTTATTTTTTTAGCAGCGTTTTATGGAACTAATAAATGTCAAAATATTTGATTTCAGCTCAGGAAGAAAATTCCATCTTTCAGCATGTTATGTTTTTATAATTTTAATGGAGAATCAGTTAGCAAAATAAAAAAGCGGCTCAGAATTTTTAAGGTGAAATTAACATCAATCACTGCACAGGGACAAATCTGTCATTCTGATAAAAAATAAAGGAGGATACAGAAGCAGATTTTCTGAATTTGCTGCATCTTCCATGCTCTCAGATAGCTGCTTCAGTGTATGTCTACACTTCAGCTAATCTTGTCATTACAGAACAGCAAAGGCCAGTTCAAGGCCAATTTAAACTACAATTTTTCGGGTACTGGTAGCATTTGAACCGCAGCAGTTCAGCAGTGGCCGTTAAATCCCTACAGGAAGTTGGGTAAATATTTGGAGTAGTTATTATAACATGGAGCTGAAAGCCTTTACTCTAAACTGCTACCAGTATCTGACACAGTTAGCTATGTCTATCCTACTTTGCAATGTAAACATAAGCCTACCAAAACCTATTGATTCTAGCTGTGGTTTTTGCTATCTGTTTTCTTTGTTCAACTGCAAAACTGACCAACACCAAGTGAAGACAGTACAGCGGTCACATCTCATTATCAACACCTAAGTTGTTGGGTTTTTTTTGTTTTTTTTTTTTTTTTGTTTGTTTAAGTAGTAGCGCTAGGGGAGATGTTTTGACATGTTAGGAAAAAATATCCCTTCACAGTAAGTTCAGTTAGAGTCCCAGCTGTTTAAGATTCAGGACTTGGGACTAATGAATATTTCATTGTTTGCAAATGATAAATGAGGCAGAGAGAAATATTTCAAAGTGCTTTTGCTTTCTTATATTGACCTTGAAAATTTAAAGCACAGAGCACACCGCAGAGCGTGCATGCAAAGCAAGGGCATGCAAAGCAAGGATGCCCTTCAGGGATGGTGTCCTCCTAATATGAACTGTGCCACATCTCTGCATATTTGTTGGTTTCTCAGCTTAGTATGACTGCATGTCAGTGGAATGACAAGATAAGCGCTATTGGTCCATCAAGCCAGACAACTGCTCATTTCCTGATTAAAGAGAGTACATTTTCATGCAACTTATACTTAGCCTGTGGAACTCTTCGCCACAGGACGTTACGCTAGGCCAAAAAATCAGCAAGACACAAAATGGATGCTAATGCTATTTGTTGAAACAGAATTTCAACTCTTTCAGCTTTGAGGCCAGCTTACCACTATTAAGGAGGACGATAAGTCACTCACATAGATGAATTATTCTGTCTCCAGCTAAATGGTGTTTCCTGCTCCTATCTCTGGCCACTTACAGGAACAGAAGGCTGAACTCAGCAGATTTGGTCTAATTCTGCATCTTAGTGGTCCTTCTGTGCAGTCTTATTTTTGGAGAAGTAAATAGTGAATCTACATTTGGGCAGGCTGCAAACCTTAATGGCCAGATTCTGCTCAAGTATACAAAGGAGCTTGARTAAACGCTGAAAATCACAGCGTGTCCTTAATTCAATAATATTTTTAGGATCATGTATACAAGATGTATACATGAATACTGCTAAGTGAAGCATACCAGTATACTGTGTACATAGGAAAGTTAATACATTCTATAATGTTTGCTGCTAATGAAACTCGTCTTTCTAATTTGCTATTTTGCTGTAACTTATATAAACATGCATCAATTTGGAAAACAGGGATACAAAGGAATTATAACAGAAGGATGTTTGAAAAGGAAGCTTTTTCAAAGAAAAAAAATCAAATCTCAAATTTTACAGCATAACTAAGGATTTTCATGTTTTAATTTCATACATCTTGTATAAGCAGTACTTGTTGCAGGCTGCAATCTCGAGGAGGTTACTTTTTTGACATAATAGAGAAGAGATAAATGAAGTAGGATGGCCATGTTTTATGATCAGAATTTCCTTCCTTTGATGATTTTTTATTTTTGTCTTGATTTTGTGTTGTACAAATGTTATAACTGAAAGAGAAGGTTACGGGGAAAATTTCTTTGAAACTTTGCTGGATATTTTTCTTGAATTTGAAAAAATGCATATATTTATTTTAATCCAAGAAGTCTATTGTCATTGATCTTTTCTAAGAGGTGGAATAACTCACTAATTTAACTGTTGTTCATTCTGGTAAAAAAACAAAAAAAAAAAAAAAAAATCAAACTCACCACATGTTTGAAAAAGCATCTGTTCCCTCTGGTGAGAAATACACATCTCAGAGTTCAGTGGGGGTAGGGATGAAATAGCTTTAACTGATGCTGCCCATGAAGAGAGTGCAGCACCACACACGGCCTTAGTGGCCTTAACATTTCTGCTGTGCCACAGACTCCTCTAGGGCAAGTTTGCAGCCTCTGTCCCTCTTTTCCTAAGCCCTTCCTTCACCTGGAGAGAAGCACAACCTGCCCACTCCCTTCCCCAGGTCTTCACATAGGCCCCTGGGCRGCCGGGACCGCTACCACCCATGAGAGGACACTGCCTGATGGGGAGGCAGGTAGGAGGATCACCACAAGATCAGGCACCACAGGCGCTCACCCCTGGATCCCTCTCTCCAGTAGAGATAAGAGCTGCCTCCCCCCARAGCAGGGGAGAACTAGGAGTGCTCATTTACAGAACACATCACAAAAAGCAACCTTCTTCCATAACCTACTGGAGGTACCTCAGGCTTTCCTGCACAACCTTTGAGGCTGAGGTCCTTGGCCATGCCTTGTGTTTTTCCYTTAGCCACCTGAACAAAGTGGTAACTCCCATGGCAGCTCAGCTCCTCCTCGTTACCTTCTAATTTCCTGGCATAGGAAGCCTGGCTTAGGGCACYAATTAATAGTTTCTATGTTACCAGCTTCATCTTGGCAAGCTAAATAAGCCTTTTTAAAATGCAATTTGTAATTGCTGCTGTCATAGCARTGTTGGCAAGTCACAAGTTTTGTATCACTGGCCTATATTTTCTGTAGTTTATRTTTTTATATTTTACCAATGTATTTATATCTTCAATTATCCATTACATGTTGATCATCAGAGTTTACAATGCTTCTGAATCTCAAGACACAGTGTTTGCAGATGTGGCCCCTTTGCTAACTTCTCTTCTGGATGGGTAAGTTAGAAAGTGGGAACAGAAAAGCTAAAGGGCAATTATGTACTAGAATTCATCAATTAAAATAATACTTCAGTATTAGCTGTTAACTGCCTTGTAGTCGTGTCAAATTTTGCAGCTTTACCATTTCATTTTTCTGTTTTCTTTCTACTCAGTAGTGAGTGAATGTTTTTTCCTCGTATAAACATTGAACACAACTGTTTATAAAATCTAACAGAGTGGACAAATTTTGARGGAGAAAAAGTAGGTTGGCAGTTTTTATCTGGGGTCTTTCCATTATAGCAAACACGAGCATTGCTTCTAATGGTGGATACTGTTTTATTTGTTTTCTTTCCTATGTTTTGATAGGTTATGCTTTAGAACTGTTTTTCAACTGCAAACATAGCATGATGCATCTTTCCTAACAGTGTATTCTTATCTGAAAGGTCTGCCAGGGCCAWTTGCTGGTCATCTGATCCTGTGTACAGCAAATGCCATAGGAGTTCATACAGCCAGTTCCTGACGGAAACAGAATTGCGCATCCTCAATCTCAGTTCCTAAGAACTTAATATCCTTCCAATATTAGGATTAAAACAATTCTGGATTGAATAAGAAACTAATCAGTAATAAGCACTAACGAATGTGTTTAACTAATTTAGCCACTGAAGTTCTTGAAGTGTGATTTTCATTTACACTAGGGCCACGTTAAGCTGCTCCCACAAATAAGCCTTGAAGTGGTGGTGGTTATAATCCTTCAGATGCAAATTCCGGATTTATTTAGATCTCTCTTTCTGCCCTTTTGCCACCCTGATTCAGCTGAGCTATAGATGCTTGGCGTAGCCCTCTTTCCCTCCAGAGCAGCACAGCTCTACAGGGGCAACCCTTGCTCCTGGCAGTGGGCACACTGAAGGGTACGAGACTTGTTTTCTGTCTGAGAGTTAAAAGCAGCCTAGAAGGGGTGTTAGGATATGRTGAATATTGGTAAATCCCCAGCATCCTGTTACACAGGCCACGGAGGGGCCCACAAGGGCTTCCTGGGCTAAGAGAAGACCTATAAGGCCCATAGGGCACCATTCTGGTTCTCTGAGCATGAGTTACTGCAGTTTCCATAGTTGAGCAACGTGGGGACCCCTACACTGGAAGAGTTTGGAGGGCTCCTTAGAACAGCTGTTTTCACTCTATACTTTTCCTGTTGCAGTGAACGTAAGTTTGCTTTGGCTGAGTATGCTGCCAATGTTTCTTCAAGCCTATCTGATCCATACCTCCATCTACTGTATTTCCAAATTGCACAYTGAAAGAATCCTGTCCCCAAAGCTGGGATTTTTATATTCATTTAGGAAATGTTCTGTTAGTGAAAACAAAAGAGCTGTCTTGTTTTTCCAGGAGTGCCGTTTAAACAGAAACAGATTTTCAGGGAAGGAAAGACTCTCCATAAGAGCCATGTTTCTGAAGAGCCCTCCCTTTGTAAATGTGAACCAGACAGACTTCATCTGAACCTTGAACTGCTCAGCCCCTCCTGACTGTTTTGATCTGGGTTCCAAAACGCTGTAACAACCTTAAGTAGAAAGGAGTGTTCAATTGACTGTTCAACTCTTTTTCCTTATTTTTCTTTCTTTTTTTTTTTATTAATTGTTTCATATTCCAGTGTAAATATACAGGAGGAAAAGATTGTTCCATATGCAAAGCAGATAAAATACTGCAGCCTTCAAAGTTTACAGTTAGCAGTACAGAACCAGCAAGGGACTAAGATAACACTTCCTTTCTTTACAAGGTTGAAGAATAAACTTAATTTATTTATTTATTTTAAGGAAGAATACATTCCTCTTCCTTTGATTTCTTTTGATAGTGTTCCTAAGCCAGTGATAACTTTACTGTCATGAACAGCCATGTTCCTTACAGGAGAGGAGTGCTAGAAAAGTACTGGTACTGTACTGCACATAATTTGACAGTAAGCATTTTTTAAAACAATGTAACTTTATGAAACACAGTAAAGAAAAAGAAACATGTGGATTAACAGAAATATCTCACAGYTGAATCCTAATCAGAAATGTTCATATTAAAGGCCTGAGGATAACTCCATCAACTATATGACTGGACATCTAGTTATGTTCTTTGCATCCTGACTTGGTTCACTAACTGCAATTTTGACTTTGCATCACYAGAAAGATTGACGTAAGCCCAGATATTTGCTGTCTTGCTTACTAGGCTACTGCTTCTTTCAAGTAAGAGAAAACTTTCTTAAGAATCCCCCCAAAAGATTGCTTTTACATATGCTTAGTATTCAGAAAACCTTGCAAATATATTTTTTCACAAGTGGCAGTTTTAGTATTTGATTACCTAAAGTCAAAATTTTGAAACAACCGGATGAGGGGTGTTCACTGAAATTTTCTGGTATGTTCTTGAAACAACAGTCTTGATATGCAGGAAAGCATCAGATTACAAAAAGCAGCCGATCAAGTCTGTCCACAGAGGAGGCAGAGCTTATGCAGTGAAATTGCACTCCCTGGCAGAAGAGGAGCAAGCCCGTTCCTGCAGCTCTTTAATTGCACTGAAATTTCAGCACGCCACAAAGTGCACGGAGGTTCTGCTAAAGCTGGGACTCTGGGCAAACAAGACAGACCAGTGAAGGAGCAGTCTTGCCAGCGTATTTTCTGAAAGTTTTTGCTGGCGCCAGTTCTGTGGTCAAAACCAACGTGCCAGCAGGTGCCAGCAGTACAGACACAAGCAAGAGGGAACTAATCTGCAAATGCACATTATGGTCTTGGTCCTCACTACAAGAGAGTATTGTGTCTGGGTGCATTTGTTTCTTCCCAGTTGTTTTACTTCTGAATTTGACTTGGATTAGACACGCACGTTGTGGACAGCAGTCATACAGCTAAGCTCACATGTCTGCAGCAGAGGCATCTGCAACCGAGCTGGCAGCTGTGGGCTTATTGTTAAATGTTCAGTGAAGAGAAGCAGGCGTTTTCAGTCCCCTGTTCATTTGATATGTTTCACATGTCTACTTCAGGAGATGTTACATCGTGTTCCAGAGGTGCCTGTACCTCTGCACGGACTTTGTCATCTCTTGTCTTCTACAAGACCACATGAAATCAGTTCCTCRCACTTTTATCCCAGCGTGTGCTTATGCTCAAGTAATGCATTTGGTTTTAAAGTTGTGTCTTATTATTAGGGCTCTCTTAYCTTTTGCAGTGACTGTGGGCTGTGTCTGTTGAGCCTACCTGAAAAGGYAGTGAGAACTGAGTTCACTATTCCCAGCAGTTCTGATATTAATGCAGTGGTTTGCAGTGTAGCAGTGTAAGACAAGTCAGACCCAATGATGATTTACTTTAAAATGCTGTACTGTAAACTGCAGTGCTTCTCAGGAGCTGACTAGTAAGCAGCTCAGCAGTGCGGGGACTGGAAGTGGGGCAGACAGGAGGTCTAACATCCTCAGTCATTCCAAACTAAGCATCCTGCTGTTGCCAGTTCCCTACCCTTTGTAGTTGCTCAAAAAAAACCTATTTCAGAGATGTTATGAGCAGTATTTAATTTTGGTCTGATTTTGAAATTGTCAGAAAGAAATCTGCAGTGGCAGTACATTTATTTCTAGTCTTGGTTTGTGTTCCCAAATTTGGGGGGATTTAACCTGCTACTTAACAGATGCATTTGAAAATATGTTTTTTTWWAAAAAATAGTCACTTTGATTTTCAGGTACAATGTGTGTATCATGGCTTATGGGCAGACTGGAAGTGGGAAGACATACACAATGTTGGGACCACAGTCAGAGAAGAACCCTGCATTCTCCATAGAAGATGAATCGGAACTTGGAATCATTCCTCGAGCTACGCAGGAAGTGTTCAGGTAACACTGACCGGATAATACTGACCTAGTAAGAGCTAAGGCTTTTGTCAGTGGTATGCATATAGAGTTTTCACATTAAGCTTTGTAGAAAGGGTAAACAGTACTTGTAATTTATCATTACAGATTTCAATTTAAAAATTATTAGTAACTGCAGCACCTCTGGCAACCACTCCACATCTGAGATTTCATGTAGCCTTCTTGTATCTATCCTGCTTAGCTACATTTCCTAAAAAAATAAGATTATGCAGTCTTGCTCAGTGTGTCTGTCCATCTGTATTTCAGACTCCTGATATCTTTTGTACTGCCACAAATATGGTTGAAACTTATTCAAAAGTTTGTGAGGATTGACAGTTGAGCAGATGAAAGGGAGAATCCAAGTTAGAACCCAGTCCCACAAAGGATGATAACAGACTTTCTAAAAGTGGTCTGATCTGGACTAGATTTATTTATTGAACATAATGCATGCTCTGATACGCTGCTATGTCATTTRATTATTTCTATGGTTATTTTTATGAATATTTTTCTGGGGTTTTAGGATTGCATGTGTTTTCCTCTTGAAATCATATTTTTTTAGGATTACGTTTGTTTTCCTCAGTAATAATATTTTACAACCTCAACTTCATGCACAAGCATGGGTATGTCCTAACAATAGAGGGGTGTGGAATGACACACAGAAATCAGTCAGGCCACACCACAGAAACAGGTTGTGTGGTTTAAATACAGTCAAAAGTTCATTTTTTGGGGTTCTGCACTGAGGTTGTGTGAGATTGTGGTTCTAGATAACCTTTTCCAGAAATCATCTGGAAGAGTTTACCATGTCTGGCTTGCAGGAATGTTCACTGCTTGCAGCTGACCAGAAATTATTACGGATTGAGCTCTGAATACAGCAACTCCCAGCAGGGAAGTGGTATAAAAAACACCTTGAGGAGTGAGGGGGATTGGTGGAGAAAAACGACATAAACTGTTACCGCTGTTTCCAAATGAAGGTCTCACATATAACTTAAGTATATACTCTTATTCTTTAGCTGAACAGCAGCACGGAGATGAGGCACAGTCATGACTGGGAATATGTAATAGGCACTCTTACGTTCTTATCAGGTTGTAATTCGATTACAAAGAACAGATCCTTATTTACAGATTAGCTTACGTGGGGGTTGATTTCAGCATGTTTTGGTTTTCTTCTGCTTCTCWTTTTTTTTTTTTAATTTCTTCTATTTTTATTCTGCAGGCTTATTTCAGAAAAGCCACCAGGAAGTTACTGGGTTGAGGTTTCTGTTGTCGAAGTATATAATAATGAAATTTTTGATCTTCTGGCCAAAGACGGTTGTGGAAGAGTGTATGGCATCAAACGTGATGTTGTCACAACCAGAGAAGGGAAGAGTGATGTTCCATTTCTTACATATGAGTAAGTGCACAGTTTGATCCTCCTCTTAATGCATAGTTAGTGCAATGCACAATTTTTGCAAAATCAGTTTGGATGAAGTTTATGGATGCAGAAGTGAATGAACGAGTCCTTGTGAGAGCATGGGAGCTTGCTGTGTTTCACTCTGTTGGATTGCAGTTGGCTCCAAATATTAACATAGTCTCAGCAGTAACAATATAATTAATTTGGGTTACACTTCCACATTAAGCATCCTCCACTCAGGATGCCTGAAGATAGTTAGGTATTTTATCATTACCMGGTCTAAAGCACCTTGTCACCTCTAGGAAAAGAAAGGATAACTCAGTCACAAAGAACCTTCTCTGGAGCCTTACTGTATGATAAGGTGTCCTACAGATTAAAAAAGAAATGTAGGCATTCTTAAGATTTTTAAGAAGCTACAGAGTGTTATTTCTGTATAATCACTAAAGTTAAAAAAAGCAGCTATGGAAAGAATGACATTTTAAGACATGCTGTTCTTCAGTGAACATSCTGAATTCAGGCTCTTCAAAATCTAAGACTGGTCGATCTCTTCTACACATTCAGCTTTTAGATGCCTACCTTCCCCATGTACACGTGTGGTGTGATTCTCAYTTACACGCATCTCCATTCTGAAGGGTAGCCTGAAGTAGTTACAGGCAGCAGCTGTGCCTATTCCATGCCTTCCTCTGCTTCTAAGCTTTCCAAAGGCTTGTTAGTATTTGTGGTAATGGCATTACATATGGAGAGCGTACAGAGCAAATACATACTTTCTTTTTGCATATGAAGCATGTATCTTTGGTGTTTTGATCATAAAAATCACAACCATTCCTAACAATTTTTGCATTTACAAGAGCAGGTCTGTTTCAGACACTCGATTTTAGTAACAGATGGGCTGTTTATGCTGATGTTAAATAACATTAATAAAACAAGTTAAACCAAGCAGCTCTAACAGCACAGGAGAGGTGCCACCCCCACCCCATGCCCCTGCCATGAATTAATACAAAATACACACTCAGTGGAATCACATAAGCATTAACCACTAATTTTAGCTTGTTTATGTGGGTTTAAGTTATTGCCAGAAAGCCTTGATAAAAATATGTCAATGTATGGAGGGTTGCATGAATATCCTTTTATTCTATCTGGTTATATGCATTTATTAACTTGTGTTTTCCAGCCATTAAACTGCTCATAGAAAAATGTGAAGCCCCAGAGAAACTGTAAAGTAACTTATTTCAACAGCAGGGCAATATCTCCTTTGTTTCTATGAAATAATAATCAGTGCACTGCTCTAGAAGAGGTTAACATTTTTCTCTGGGATATGTCTGCTCTTCACACTTCAGGTTAAATGTGATTTTCCAGATATATTCTGCATTCTTGTTTCCACTCTGTATGTCCCATAAGAGCCTTTAATTAATTAAAAATTACTGGAGTTTGAAATGATGAAACCTTTTGCTCTCTTTCAGCCTATATGATGCTGCTGGTTGAGTTTCTTTCAGTCTGTGTTCTTGGATTGGCTCAGCTGTGATTGTACTGTAACTTTCGGCACCTTGTTAATTTGCATAGATAGAGACTCAGATGATACCACGCTGGATGGAGTTGCTGACACTCTGGAGCGCTGTTCTGCCATTCAGAGGGACCTGGACAGGCTGGAGAGYTGGGCAGAGAGGAACCTCATGAGGTTCAACAACGACAAGTGCAGGGTCCTGCCCCTGGAGAGGAATAACCCCCAGCACCAGTACAGATTAGGGCTCGACCTGCTGGAGAGCAGCTCCACGGAGAGGGACCTGGGAGTCCTGGTTGACACCAAGTTAACCATGAGTGAGCAGTGTGCCCTCGTGGCCAAGAAGGCCAGTGGGCTCCTGGCCTGCCTCAGGAGGAGTGTTGCCAGCAGGTCRAGGGASGTGATTCTGCCCCTCTGCTCAGCTCTGGTGAGGCCGCACCTGGAGTACTGTGTKCAGTTCTGGGCTCCCCAGTRTAAGAGGGACGTGGAGCTTCTCGAGAGGGTCCAGTGGAGGGCAATCAAGACAATTAAGAGACTGCAGTATCTCCCTTATGAGAAAGGACTGAGTGAGCTGGACTTGTTTAGCCTGGAGAAGAGAAGGTTGAGAGGGAATCTGATCAATATGTATAAATACCTGAAGGGTCAGTATAGGGAGAATGGRGCCAAACTCTTCTCTATGGTGGTCAGGGTCCCTTAAGATGATTAAGGGACTGGAACATCTCTCRTATGAGGAGAGACTGAGCGAGTTGGGCCTGTTCAGCTTGGAGAAGAGAAGGCTGAGAGGCAATATGAGTAACATGTATAAGTTCATAAAGGGAGAATGCAGGGAAGAAGGGGCCAGGCTCTTCTCAGTGGTGGCCAGTGATAGGACAAGGGGAAATGGGTTTAAGTTGAAACGCAGGCAGTTCTATCTCCATGTGAGGAGGAACTTCTTTCCTGTGAGGGTGACAGAGCCCTGGCACAGGCTGCCAAGGGAGGTTGTGGAGTCTCYTTCTCTGGTGATCTTCCAAACCTGCCTGGACACCACCCTGTGCCCCATGCTTTGGGTGTCCCTGCTGGAGCAGGTGGATTGAACTAGATGATCTCTAGAAGTCCCTTCCAACCTCAAGCATTCTGTGAGTCTGTGACTCCCTAGGCCTTATTATCAGGGGAAAGAAAAACTCCTTCAGAGGTGACTGGGAGCAAAACCTAAGCTGTCTGGTTCCTTCTTGAAGTAGTCAATCCTTTTCCTTTGACTAGAGAAAGAAGGAACTGTATGACTCAGTAGATGAAAAATTGGTGCATTCAGTGTATAGGGTACAACAGGAGCAAAATGTGTTTTTTTTTTTTTTTTTTTTAATTTCTGATTTTCACAACCACTGGGTATTTTTTAGTTACAGAATCTCAGTGACCAGGCCGCAGGCCTGATCATTACTGAAACATGCTGACCCCCCAGGAGGCTTTGCAGAGTTAGCAGGTGACCCATCCCTTTCCCTAGGCACTGAAACAGAGCACAGTGAGATGTGACAGGCAGATACCTCTACCATCGAAGCAGGGACCAGAAGCTGCAGGAAGGTTTCATTTGTACTTCTAGTTCATAAAATGGCTGCTGTGTTTATTTCTGTGAGTTGTAATGTATGGTAAAGGAACCTGGTGCCTTGAGCTAAGAACCTTTTTAAAACATTTATCTAAGTCAATTGATAAATACTCAGTTCCAATGCAAATATACACAAAAATATGGACATGTATCTCAATTACAAAGCAAGCTGCAAAAAAGTCCAGTTCATAAGTTAGTTATATTAATAATTATACAGAAAGGTTAATAAGAAAAAGCAAATCCAAACAAAGTAAGGGAACCATTGAGTGAGGCCACCCAGCTGCCTGAAATCTTAAGTAAACAGCTGGTGCTTTGAATAAAAACACATCCTCATTTGTGATAATATTTCATCTCAGAATATACTGGCCTGCTGGGTCTCATTGGTTTCTCCATATGTCCAATAAAATACAGTAGTCTCCTGTTAATGTGCTCATCCTAGTGAATTGCAAAAACCTCAATTTCCTTCTTCTTTTATGACCTGGTTGACTTTGGAGAACTTTCAACATCCAATTTTTACCCTAAGCACAATGGGGCTTCTCTTTTGCTGTATGGTCCATACAGCATGATGCYGTAGCAGAGATTATTCCAGAGATCRCCACTAGAGACAGTCCCACCAAGGAGCTACCGTGGTGAGTCTGCAGCATGGTGCTGGCGATGCCACTTGCCTCGAGTCTGCAGCTGGGGCCGCTGCCCCCATGTTTGTGCCGGGCCGGGTGAGCCAGGGAGGCCTTGTTGGGAGGCCATGACCAGGCCTATGGAGGCAGAGGTATCGCAGGGGACACAAGTACACRTGGCTCATGAGTGACAGGCTGAGTCTAGGGAACATGTAGTTCCTGARGCTCTTGTTTATGGTGTTGATGGATTACTCAGGGAATTGTTTATATGGCTTCTTTATGGTATAGCTAAGTGTATTCCACTTCTTTGGTRTATATATCTTTGCCTTATTTTCATAGTGAACTGTTTCAATGGGGTGTATATATTTTTTTTTCTCTGACTTCTTCAAGCATGTCTCTTATTAGCACGTACGGTATTGATRCCCAGTGTGATTTCTCACTGAAATTGGTAAAATCTAAGTCATAAAGGCCGTGCCTTTCACCATGAGCTTTGTAGTAGCGCAAAATCAAGTTTGTGGTGGGCAGCGTGTCAGGAGAGCTGGGAATAGTTCTGGTGACTCACAGGGCATCCTCAACCACGCAGTGACAAGCACTCAATAATTTATATATCCATCTAGAAACAAATGCTTAGTGGTATAGTTTGAGAGATTATTGAATGAGGCAGTGCAGTGAAAGGAACGGRTAAGGAAGAGCATTTAATCGCTAATGTTACCTCGTTTGTTTTCAGATGCAAATCTGGGGAAAATGCTGGGAGTTTATTTATTTTGTCTTCTGTTTTACCATTGAGCAGCTCATACTTGGATTATTTCCTTCAATTGAAAAACAGAACAGATAGTATAATATAAAATGACCCATATAAACTTATGCCTGTCTATTCTGGTACTGTGTTGGAATCTCTGTTCACTAAGCAACAGTACTGAACTTTTCCACAAGGATTTTGGAATTAATTCTGAATGTGAATTGCACTTTCCAAATGCCCAGCAAATTTTTTTTCTGTTTGCTTTGTTTTTCCCTTAATTCTGTTCCTCAGCAAAGGTAGGTGCTTGTATAACATAAACTGATAAACTCTACAAATCTTTAAGACCAGAGATTTCAGGAGTGCTTAAGTCTATTTGTGTATTTTTTTTCAACATGCAAAATTGTATACATCTGAATTGCTCCCAGAGGTGAGGTACTCTGTCTACAGTCTTAGAAGGCTGGYAGGCAACTTCTTCAGCACTTTCAGTATTAAGTCACAGCTTTTGCCTTCAATTTTCATCTTGGKCTATGTCCTACCAGAAAATGGCTAACACATTAGCCAGAAAATGGCTAACACAGGAGCTTGTGCAACTCAAAACTGAGAGCAGTGTAGACATAGTACAAAGAGCTAGAAAAGTAGGGAATAGGAACTCATGAGTTTGTGTCCAAGTTGCCAGCTTTCTCGTGTCATTTTTACTGTGCATCAGTTAAASTTTCTTTTTTTGCTAGAACTGTTGAGAATGCATCTGAATTCTTGCATCTAGTCAACAAGGGCCTGCAGTTAAGAGCCAGAAACCCAACGCTGGTGCACGCTCATTCTTCTCGTTCTCATCTGGTAGTTACATTGACCATAACCACAATTGTATCTGGAGATAACTTTGGTAAGTAGGATACTGCTAAAATATATCTAGAGCTATGTGCTTTTGAAACACAGTCTGTGAACTGAAATATTATTGTATTGTTCTTTCTTCATTTTTCCAGTGCTTAATCCATTCCCTCAGTTCTTTGTTTAACCTTTCAAATAGCTTTATAAGAACTTTTACCAGTTTGATTTCAGAATGCTACTGGTTTTATTACATCTTATTATAGTAACTTCTTACTTTTCATGTCTTGACTTACGGAGCTTTTAAAATTTATTTCACTAGTTGTTTCTTGCTATAGAACTTGATCAGTAAGTCGTCAGTGAATAGGCACTCCAATACAGTAGTTAAATCACAAAGTATGACATATCTTCTTATTCTTGATAAGTTTGTGGTAAAGCTAASCAATGTTGCTGGTGTTTTAGGGCAAATGCTAAACAGCGTATGCTGCTGGGTGAAAAGAATTATTTTTATCTGCTACTTTGCAATACTTGCATTAAATTCAGGATCTCTTGATCTATCAGTAATAGGTCACTGCAGGAACAGCCAACATGGTTGTTTTATTTAGTATGTCAAAACCTGTATTCCTACATTATAATTGTCCTTTGTTGTTTTCTTTCCTTACTACATCAACACTTTATTGTTTTAGTAATGCCTTTGGCTTTTGAGGGGTTACCTTTGTTTTCTTTTGCTCATGTTGTAATTAGACTCTCCTTTTTCAGTGCTGTGGTCTATTTCCTCCGTATTCTGCAGCAACAACATGGTTTAGAAAGTGGAAAGCATTTAACATTTTTTCTCTCTAGATTGCTATCGGATATGAGCCCGGCAATATTAGCAAGAGAGAACAAACACTGCCCTCATTTCCCTGCCAAAAGTCACAACCATTCTGCACGCTGCAGCTCTAGCATTCCAGATGTTAGCTCAATCCAGGTGCAGATTCTTGTCAAGCAGGCAGATGTTACCTTTCCAAAGGAGGAGCATTTGCCCACACCAGCCACCTTGTCTAGTCCAGGCTTCCCTCTGCCACTGCTATTTGCACTCACCCTGTCACACCACACTGCAGGCAGCAAAATGCCACAGAAATACCTAACTTAGGCTGAATGCAGACTCTTAGGTTTACAGTTCATAATGCAAGAATGAAGGTGAGCAATATGGTTGTGGGGCAGGAAGAAATCTGCATTACAAATGATAAAAGAGAATGTGACTGCATTCTACCTAAAATGAAAAAATCCTGACTTAAAATCTATGCGAAGTTGTCAAGTATCTCACCATTGGAGATCTMAGTCACTAAACAAAAAGTTATTATGTCTAAGATGAGCTCTTCAATGAAACAAGAGTGGACAAGCAGGCATTTTTTTCAGAYTTGGTTAAGCTCTTATAGCAAGTTGAGTAATTTCTGTTGTTCAAGGGAAGGCAGTTACTTCATTTCTTCATCTCTTCATTTCTTTCTCCATCTTGAAGAGGAGAGAGAGGCCACATTTTTATACTCTCTGAAGCCATTTATTCTGTGTAAGCCAAAACGGCTGCTCAGTCTGCAGTGTGAACAGCTCGTTCGGGTCTTAGCAGCAGCCCAGTTGGAGAGGCACTGAGCTCTACGAGCCAGTTGTGTCAGCTCACTGCTCCAGCTTTGCAGCCCACCATGAACCTTTGCCCTTTTGCAACCAGGGTCTTTAAGACCTCAAGCCATTGTCTCTATTACCTATAGCAAAGCCTCAAATTTTGTTCTTTTATGTCTTTCCTTACAATAGAGAAAGATGAATGAAAACCAGAACACTGAAGGAAAAGAAAAAAGAACTGCTTTGGGAAAGTCCTTTGCATATATTCCCACTAAGCTAATGCCAAAGCAGCTTTTCCAGAGTATTTATCTTGCTGTTTCTTCCCAGCTGAGAGTGCAAGCCAGATGCCACTGCGAAGGAAGGCGAAGGATGTGAAGCAGTCTAGTGCAGCTACATAACAAGGGAGGGCCAGGACAAGTAGACCCACCTGAGCATGTGCAAGCAGCGCCCACAAGGCTAATAGCTCATGAGACAGGGGTGCAGCACTGAGATAACACGGCCGAGGGAAGTCTGTGGGGAACAGCAGCAAAGAACAGAAGGGGCAGAATGAACCATTTTGGCCAGAGCAGCACAACATGAAAGAGGAGCTGCTTAGAAAGAGACTTCAGAGCTTACTGCTCCTAAGAATTCAAAATCCCACTCTAAAGTTTGTTTGCAGTCAGTCTAAAACATGATAAAATGCCTTTTTGAAGTCCTTAGTGGTCTACTATTCCTTGCTCTCCAGATAAAAGAGAGTGTGTGTATTGGTAACATTAGATAAAACACAACCTACATCAGGTCTTGTTAACAATTGCTGTGATCAGTCTGATGAGCAAAACCTTAAGCCAGACAAGGTTTCAAACCAAACGGTTCAGCCTACTGAATATATTATTTATATATATGTATATCTATAATATAGGATATAATATATATAATTATATATATATGTGGGTATATATCTCGTAGATAGATTTTGTTAGAACATCCTGAAACAGCAGACACTGGACTYGATAGATGCCATCTCCATTTCCTGTGTCGCTAAGAAGCTCGCCTTGTCTTGTTTTCTCTAACCAGSTATTTCATGGGAAGATGAACTAACCAGTCAGAAGCTAAATAAAGAGGTTTCCTGCGCTGTTCCACAGAAAATGAGAGAAAATAAATCCACCTTTTCTTCCAGAGCCTCTTCACCAGCCTCTTCAGAAACAACTGAAAAAGTGAAGCAAWTCAAAACTAGACTGCAGCTGGTGGACCTCGCTGGTAGTGAGTGTGTCGGTAAGCAAATGTGGCTGTTTGTGGAAAAAAAAGCTGTTAGGAATGATGAGCATGGATCCTCCCAGATCTGGAGCAAAGCACTTTCTTTTAGCTCTTTACATACGGATATGGGTTTCCACAGGGATTGGTTTAATCACACAGATCCTGACATAAATGAAGTTTTGGTACCTTAATGTTTCACTTTTACTGCTGGTGTAGTTTAACTGAAAATCAGACCAGGGCAGGTACCTGTATCATAGGTATATTATTGTTCAAACTGCTTTTCTTAGATATATTTTTCTACTCTTAAAATGAGCATGTCTTTTTACAGGAATGTTCAAAGTATGTAGATTATTTAATTTTTACAAATGTTGGTAATAATTGATATCCCCATGTGTAGGTTTCTCTCCTTCATTGTTGAAAAAATCTTGAAGGAAGTTAGTGTTGAAGATAATACTGTTTTCATTGCTTCTTCAAAGCATTTTCTTTCCTTCCCCTCCTCTGTGCAAACAATAATTTTAAAAACTTGATTATTTCCTAAAGGACAAGTTTTCTTACCAAGAAAAGCCATCAGCAAAACGTACCATTCCAGAAAAAATGTTTTGAAAACTGAACCAGTATTATGAAAGAGTCTTTAACATTACTGCCAAGGGTTCTTGCTGCTACTCACTGTTAAACTTTTGTTCTATAGAGAAGCATAATGTGAAACATTATTTTTTCATTTGCTGTCAGTGCTGGAAGTTGTTTGGTAAGCGTGTAACAGAGCAGCAGTGTGTGTGTTTGCTCTCTCAGTTCAACCAGGTCAAATAGACTCGTGGTTTGGGCTCAGTAGCCTGTTCTGATCACGACCCTGGCATTAGCTCTGCCTCACGTGGCTATGTGCTCTGGTAATAGGATGTCAATGTAGATAACATGTGCAGCTCTTCTGCTACCCCAAAGAAGAGGTAGCACTTAAATAATATGATGCTAAATACAAAGAGCCAGTTTCCCTTCCCCAAATGGCAGCAACGGGGCAGTAAACAACCGCTGCATCTTACTTCTAATCTGCCCTGCTAAAAGTCACGTTTCAGAACACATATATTAAAATGCTGTCTTATAAGTAGATGCTACAGCCACAGAATGTCACCAAGTGTACTCAGAGCGGCTCTGGTTAGTCTTTCTTACCATTGCCTCAGGGATGTCTGGAGCGACAGGCGCAGCGCTGAGGGAGACGTCGTTCATCAACCGCAGCCTGTGCGCGCTGGCCGACGTCCTCGGAGCCATCGCAGAGCAGCGGCCCCACGTGCCCTACCGCAACAGCAAGCTTACCCACCTGCTCCAGGACGCCCTCGGTGAGCAGCACTGAACAGAAAATAGCCTTCTTTTCCCAACTCTCTCCCTCTTTTGTTGAGTAGAAGTGAACACTGAGCTCGTGCTGACACAGTTCCTGTATGCATACAAGCCTTTGTGGAAGGAGTCTAGGTTTGGAGCAGCGCGATACCCAGCTCCGTGAGAACACAGTGTGAGTTCTGAACAACTCCGGAACGTGGCCAAGTCTCCTCAGTGGTTCCGAGGTTCAGTTTACTAATACACTTTGAATAACCACAACATCTCTAATAATGCAGTGTGAAGGCTAGTGATTGCATTTCACTGCTGTTCCATGTCATGTACAATTTACAAGTTAAGCTTCAATCTTAATTAGTACAGGATCCAGTCAGGTACTTTCAAATCTCTTGCTGCTACAGGGCTTGCTATCAAAACAGAGGAGGAAGACTCCAGCCCACCTGCATGCCTGTCTCCCCCAGCCTCTTTGTGTGTTCAGGTGATTTCTCCTCTAGCTGTTAATCTACACAGAAATAGCTTTACTTACAAGTAACCTCAGTGGTAATTCAGGTTTGTGTCAAGTCCATGTTGTGCATTGTTTATTCTTTCCTTCAGCCATAACAAATCAGTTGCTAAGTTTTTAGCTCCAGAAGTCTCCAGTTTAAGGTAGCAGTGGTAACTGAGTTAACAGCTCTTCAGAATTTCAGAAGACTATTCATTTGTATTTGATCTTCTGATTTCCCCTACTGCTTGAGGGAGTGCTGTGAAAGGGAGAAGCCAGTGCAACAAATCTAAGAGCTGGGCTGTATGCACAATAAGCCTGGTTTTAATCATTCTTGGCATRTGACATGGTTTAGGTGCAATGCCTAAAACGGCAATTTCTATGTTCATTTAGTCACTGTAGACTTTAAATAAATACATTTTGCTGTGCTGGCACACAAATAAACCATTTTGCCTTCACCCTGAATTTGTAAACATCTGACAAAGCTCAGTGAAGTGTCCAGACCAATAATGTACATGCAGACTAACTGATAAAGCTGTAAAGAGAAAGAATTTTATGTTCTATAAATGGTGAAATATTTATTCTGCTACTGAGGAAGCTAATGTATTTTTAGATACAGGCTTCCCTGTAAGCAGCTCTCCTTTTTCAGTGGTTTTGTTTGCATACTGCCTTCTGCTGCCCAAGGCAAAGGCATCCTATGCTGCCTTTAGATCAGTATGTTATCTGTTTATAACTTACTGAAAATAATGGGGTGGTTTTTGTCTTTTTCCTTTTAGGAGGTGATGCCAAGTTGCTGGTGATGCTGTGCATCTCTCCCGGTCAGAAGTACTTAGCAGAATCCATGCAGTCTTTGGGATTTGGAACTCGTGCTCGGCAAGTTCAGAGAGGACAAGTCAAGAAAAAAAATCTCCCAGTACCGAGTAAAGCAAAATAAAACCCAAGACTCCTGTGGATTAAAGTATTATTAATGAGTTCCTCAGACTGAAATGTATACTGTTGTCCTAAAGGCATTCTTGTAGATACCAACAGCCAGATAAAATAAACATTCCTCAATATGGCSTTAGCAAGCCATAAGCCTGCTGCTAATGTTCTTGCTCCAGGCATAGCAAGTATTGACCACAGCTACCAGCCATGATGGAATGGCACAGAAATTGATCAGGCTTTAAAAAATAAACACATAAATAAAATAGAGATATTTCAAGACATAGTTTTGGTGATTAATTTTTTTTTTTTTGGCAAGTTAAGAACCAGGTCACCAGAGCCCTGATTCAGGATGGCTCACTTCTTCAGAAAGGCAAAGTAGCAAATGAGAACTCCTGAAGGATGAATAGAAGCTTCCCAGCTACAACTGGATGAAACACCAAGAACCTGGACATTCTGTGTGAGCGCTGCTGAAACCACATCCTGAGGGGTTTCTGAATGAAGCTATGGGACCAGTTTCAAATAAACTTAAGCAATGTTTAAGATAAGTGTTTCTGGGATAACTAGATGGGGTCTAGAAACATCTGATGGGTCCTGTGCGACGGTTTATTGCTCAGCAGGGTCCTCAGGACTCATCTAGCAGTAACTCCGCCTCCAAACCAGGAGAGAGGTCATGGGGAGGTCACTGTGAGAAGGCTTAAGTTGCAGTTGCCTGCCCCAAAATGGGAGTTTATAGTACTCTAAGTCACTTAACCTTCACAAGCATAAATATTTATCCAGAGATTATATAGCATACTACTATTGGAATTTCACCCTTGAATATATAACAGCTGCTGTACGGCATGCAGTGCTGTGGTGTTCAGAGCGTTAGCATTGCAACTGGAAAGTTACAATAACACTTGTTTTTCTAAATAGTGTTGCAAASAAAAATCTTTTACTTGATACCAGCTGAAACAGAAGGGCAGAAAAATCCAGATGCATAACTTCTTTATGAAGCTGAAGTCACTAAGGCAGTCTCACATAAAGTGAGAGATGGAGAAACGTTAGCCTATTAAATGAAAAATGGGAGTAGACAGCTTCAAGTCTGCCATAGTCATGACAGTCAGGCTACTAAATCACCCAGGATTAGAGCTCTAGAAGGGGTTAAGTGACAAGTGAGGGTTAGCTAATACCACCAGTATCTTCAAGTTCCTGAAATATTTCTGAGGATTTGGCATTTTCTAAAGTGGTACTTACACATGAAAGTTGTCATGAACTCTTGTTTTCTTTTCTGAAACTGCTTTTCAAAACTTGGCATTTATTTACAATCTATGTGGTAGGGAAAAAAAACACAGCAACAGTGTATTGTTAAGGATGAGAAATAAAATCCCTGAATATCAGCAAATACCAGAAGTTTAAGTTTCTACATTAACATGAACTCTGCCAAATTGTGCATATGCGGCATTCACTGTTCCTGTTTTCCTTGTCACTGTAGCATATTACTCTCCGTTTGACCTACCCGATGGAGTGCACAGGATATGCAGGGCAGCAAAGTTAACATGTTGCTCCAAGAACTTCCAGTTTGGGTATTTCCTGAGTTATAAAGACTGGATTTCTCAGTCCCCGTTTCAGATTTGAGGTACTGAAAGACAGAAGGGTGAAAGCTGTAGCCTGGAAGGATGAAGCTTCCAAGAGGAAATGGCCACAAACTGAAACATCGAAAATTCCACGGGAACGTRTAAGGAAACATTTCTTGACAGGAAGGGTGACAGCCCTGGAACAGGCTGCACAGAGAGGCTGTGGAATCTCCTTCTCTGGAGATCTTCAAAACCCRTTTGGATGTAGCCCTGTGCCACATGCTGAAGGTGACCCCGTACGTGCAGGGAGTTTGCATTAGATGACCTCTAACGGTCCCTTCCAACTTTAAGGATTCTTATGATTCTATGAAAGGGCTTTCCTCTGGCAGGTAATCATGGATCATCTTCTGCACAAAGACTCACACTCGGATCTGTTTATAGAGATGCAGCAGTCTCCAGACAAGTGGAACTACAGCAAGGGAAAGTGCACATGCCATGTCCTCTAGTTCTCTGCTATAGTTTTTTAGCTTTCAGGTTTTATATGTTTCAAAATAAAAGCTAGCTGTTAGAAAAGCAGGGGTGAAAGATATTCATGGAGTTCTTTAGAAGCACCCATTTAAGATTTGCTTTGCTAACCAAAACCTATCCTGAGAGATCAGTCCACATCATTAACTTCCAACGGCAAGGCTGAACCCCAGATACCAGCACAGCAGCTGTCTGGGAGGTCTGGAGCCCAGTGCTCATGCCAACAAATTCCTGTCTTACATAAAGAGAAACAGCTTCAACCAAGAGACTGCGAGCACTCCTCAGGGCTGTGCCCTACTCACCCCACATCACCCCAGGCCAAGCACCATCCCAGGAAGCAGAAGTTCGGGATGTAGCTCCGACGCAGAGTATTCTGACTCACATCTCACCTCTAATGAACAAGTGCTCAAGCTGTGAGGTCATCCTGCAGATCAGGAGATGGCAGAGCAGGAACGCTGCTGCGACTGAGCTGGACCCAGCCCCAAGTCTTAATAGCAGCAAGTGCTTGTCTAGGGTAGAGTAAGAAGTACACGAAGTTAGCAGAAAAAACGTAGACATACCTARAATCAGACAAAAGCTTTCAAGGTACATGTCCAGAATCCAGCCCAAAGCTACAGTCTGCTGCCTACAGTTCCCAGTGGATTTATTACAGATGTAATTTACCACTTGCCAAGCCCAGTGTTTCATCCTGGGGAAGCCAGCAGTCAGTAACCTGGAGCAGGGTGTGCACAGTAGCTGCTCTACGTTAACTGCATGTGGGGACATTTTATTTATTTATTCTTTATGCAGGGCAACTTACTATGCTCCAAGGGCTGCCTCATGCTCAATGTGTACCTTAAATGCACAGCAGCTCAGAGCCCTCCGGCTGCGCGGCGCTGACAGGGCCCCGCGGCTCCTCACAGCCCTGGCGCCGCTACGGGAGCGGCGAGATGCGCACGTGCAACGMGCACAACCACCCACCTGCTGTGACGTGGCCCGGGGTTAAGAAAAGCAACAATTCAATGAGCAGGTGCCCTTGGCCAACTCTTAAACAAAACCTTGACCTATACTGAAGTTGGAAAATTATATATTTATTTTCCACATGTAGCTTCAGGCCTTGGCAGCAGGTACACCACGAAGGCTCCTCTTGATTTTAGCCAGGCTAGGAGAACCATAATCAGCACTGGAAAGTTCACAAAATGTTTAATTTGCTTTTAAGTATTTATTGCTGATTCCATTTTATGAAGCACCTTTCCAAACATGTATAGAGCGCAACAAACAGGCAGAGTGAGGTAGTTAGTTAGTGGGAAAGGTTTTTGACTCTTGTTCTAGATAAAGTAAGTTGCAAACTTAGGAGTTTGCAGCTGCTTTTCAATGAGGAAGCAGAAGCAGCAGCTCACAGAGGACCAGACAGGCCCAGGGTGCAGGACTCCTAAGGGTATCATGGATCATCAGCCTGACTTTTGTGCAGTGCCTTTAAAAATAGCCCCAGCTAGACAAAAACGCAAGCCACAGACYGTACAGGGAGGGACACGCAGGGATCCAACTGAAGGGCATAACTGAAGGAGGAAGCGTTGCATAAATGTTTTCTCTCTTGCATCCTATTTTTTTTTCTTTCTTTAAACAAAAAAACAGGTTCTATTTTGCCTTATATCTGCCCTTTTTCAATCAGTTTATGAGTGAGAAAAAAAAATTAGATGGTCTTGAATTCATGCAAGAATCTGTCCTACTAGATGGGGTTAGCGTACAGCTGCATTCAGTTTTGTTAATTCAAATTCCTTTTTAATAAGTGGCAAGGTGCCAATGGTTTTCACTTATGTTGGCAATGTATCCAAACAGTAACTATCCTAAAGCTGCCCTGAACTGCTCTTTGGTGACATTCAGAAGCAAATATTTTACAGCCCGCTTGGGGTCAGGGAGAGGGAACGCAGCTAAGGAGGTTACAAACCCCCTTCAAGCAAACTTGAAGGTTTCTGCTTGTGCTGCATGAACGTCTGCCAGGCACAAGGCCCAAGGCTGTAAGGGTGTCCGAGCACCTCTCACCACCTCGGGCAGAGCCCAGGGCGGTGGCGCTGCAGGAACCGCGTGGGCTCTGCATGGAGCSCTATAAAGAGCAAGGCAAGGCCCCTCTGCGCCCTGCTGCAAACCTCCCCCTGGGCTCTGCTAGAAAATATGACAGTTATTTTAGCCTCCTCTTTACTTGGCGAGACAACTCCCCTTCAACTGCATTTTTATGTAACATCTTGGTTAAAGAGGCTGGTCAATCTCCATYTCCCATACTCAAGGGTTTGAGATAGATCAAGGCAAAGGATTTGAAAAAAAGATACAAGACTGAGTGCTTTAACAATATGTGAGGTGAGGTGTGATGAACGAAATTCACCTTCATAGAATCACAGATTGGTTAAGGTTGGAAGGGACCTCTAGAGATCATCTAGTCCAAACTTCCTGCTCCAGCAGGGACACCCAGAGCACGGGGCACAGGGTGGCATCCAGGCGGGTTTTGAAGACCTCCAGAGAAGGAGACTCCCTGTGCCAGGGCTCTGTCACCCTCACAGTAAAGAAGTTCTTCCCCACATGGGGATGGAACTTCCTGTGTTTCAACTTACACACATTGCCCCTATCACTGGCCACCAGTGAGAAGAGCCTGGCCCCTTCCTCCCTACATTCACCCTTCAGGTATTTGTACATGTTACTCATATCCCCTCTCAGCTCTCTCTTCTCCAGGCTAAACAGCCCAGAGCTGAACACAGTACTCCAGGTGCGGCCTCACCAGAGCTGAGGAGAGGGGCAGGATCCCCTCCCTTGACCTGCTGGCAACACTCCTCCTGATGCAGGCCAGGATCCCATTGGCCTTCTTGGCCACGAGGGCACACTGCTGCCTCATGGTTAACTTGGTGTCAACCAGGACTTCCAGGTCCCTCTCCGTGGAGCTGCTTTCTAGCAGGTCGAGCCCTAATCTGTACTGGTGCCTGGGGTTATTCCTCCCCAGGTGCAGGACCCTGCACTTGTCSTTGTTGAACCTCATGAGGTTCCTCTCTGCCCAGCTCTCCAGCCTGTCCAGGTCCCTCTGAATGGCAGCACAACCTTAGGTTTCTTGATCCATGTGACATATCTCTATGACTTGAAAATTCGCTCCAGAAAACCTTCTAAAATACTTAAACAGTCAAGAGATCAAACACATTCAAAT